AAGACTCTTCGGGTTGTCAGTGTAGGTTTCCTTTGTTATGTGTTTTTTGCATCTAGGCAATGCAAAGACACATATTGTTGAGGGATTGTCTTTTTGTGCGTCCTTACCGATTTTTCATCTCGAGACTTACAAAAGCTAAAAGATGAAATTTTGGAAACTTAATCCATATACTCGTACGGGCCCTTATTCCCAAAGTGGACAGTCTTGCCCAAATGGTGTCCATGTAAGGATCCGTAAAAATTCTTTGCGGTTAAGTTGCTAACTCGGGAATCTGAAAAGCTAGAAAGCCGGAATTTTAAAGAAATTTTTTCTCACAGTCGTGGTGGCCAGAAGCATCTGCCGGAAAAAACAGTGCCGTTAGCTACAATAATCTGCGGGGAACTGCTCAAAAAACCTATTTTCGCACCGGTGTATGGTGTACTGGCCAATTATTAGTAACTGTTGCAAATCGTAAGGGGCTATAAATACGAAATTTTTTTGGTTCATTCTTTAGGTGCAAAATATAATCGCCTTGTTCTTTCTCAACCACCCACTTCAGCAGGTAATTGCAAAATGCATAACTAGTCGGACCGAGGTGCACCTCGATTCTAATGAAGGCAAATTCGAAGTTATTATCATTTTGGCGGATTTTTATGCAAATGTTAGAGTTGTGTAGGAGTACAAAAATTTTTAAACAACGTACACGGGAGCAATATTAGAGTGCGATGCAGTAATTCGTACAGAAGCCGGTATTTTGTGGTGTTAGAAGTAATATGCCTGATTCAAAAACTTCCTGAATCCCTTGCTATATTTCCCTCTCCGTTTTTATTTTTTCATCCACTTTCCTCTTCTTGCCCCTTCCTGCTTTTTTTGCTTCCCTTCCGTCTCAAAACCCAGAATGTATGCAGAATGTGGATCTCTTTCAAAAAAAAAAAAATCCGGGTACAGAGTATACAGCAGGAATTAGCGGCCGCAGTATTTCGGGCCTGGAGAATTACCAGGAAGGACTATAGCTAATGTACAAATACGGGATTTATAAAAAAACTTCAGTTTTTTCATATTTTTTTTTTTAAATCACTCATTCAGGCAACAATTTGTCAATTTACCCAAATTTTATTGCCTTTTATTTGTACGACTGCGCTTGCTTTACAGTCGCAGTTTAGTTCAAAAAGAGAATGAGGCACTTTCAGCGAGATTTTTGAAGGAAACACAGTAACACTGTTTCTTCAGCACAGAATCTTATATTTTGCACACAGTGACATGTTAAAGTTTTTAACTCGCTATTTACTGACTCAGACTTAGAAAGTAGAAGCACAAAGTTCTTTTAAATGGCTTACTTCAAGTTGTGGGAGGATCCAGAGCAATACAGATTTTCTAGTTTATAGTTTTCCAAAACAAAGCAACCGATTTTTGGGGCTATCTGTAATTATTCTATTTTTCTGTATTCTTACATACGCCGGTTCATTTTGGTGACAAATATGAAATCGCATTTATCAGTCGGAGTGCCTACATTTCCCTGAGTTCCATACAATTTTTGGGATCGCAGCCACAAAGTGGACACAAGACAAACGCCGGCCAGGCCCTTGTGCAGGTCATTAGAAATAAACATGTTATCGTTAAAATACTATTATCAAATGTTATCTCTTTTCGCGGAAATAAGCATTTAACATGAAATTAGTAAGAAACAGCGCGCCGTCCATTGTCCTCTAGCACGATAACTCTTGGTTCTCCTCTTTTTTCAGCAAACTGTTGCTTTAGCTGCTTTTATTTCTTTTGTTTTTCTTTTTTATTTTCCAAATTTTTACCCGCCCATTAACGGGTTCTTTTGCGAACTTTGTTATTTTTTAACTCCGCTGCATTGCAATGTCAATTTTTTACGCACTGTCGTGTACCACCAGTAAAATGCACTTCAGTAGGAAACCATGGAAAAAAAACCAGCAGCACTGCTTTGTTTTTTTTTACCCGCATCTACATATACTGCATAATAAACCCAGTAAAACTGCAGTAATTTTTTTGACTAAAAAATAGGAAGGGATTTCCTTAACGAGGAAGTAAGATTTTTACACAAAAAAGATATTTATATCAATTAAAAAATTACTTTTCCTGCACTACAGTTTTTTAAAAGTATTCTCAGCTTACTAAATGCAAATCTTCATTGCTACATATGCAATAGTAAAATGAAACTCATTTTTGGGAGACTTTTCTGTCGTTCTCGTTTCGTTCATTCTGCAAGCACTGCCTGCTTCATTTCAAGCATTCTCTGCCAGCAACGCCAATGCAAATTATTTTTTGGCTGCATTAAAAAGCCTCATCAATGTATTCCCTGCATACTGTATACATTCCAATACATGAGCCACCATTCACTGCTTCATCTTAAAAGTACTACTACCATTACTGCTGTTGCTACCTTTTGTTTTTGGTCAGCTGCTATTATTCGGTATTTTTGTCTTGTATTTCCGTTTTTAGCTGGTAAATAAGCACTGGCGTTTGCCAGGTGGTTGAAATCGCGATCAGCTCTTTTATAAGCAGTGGAAAGAGAAAGCTATCGTAACTTCATCAGCAGCTACTTGCAAGTACTTTTGCTCGGGGGCACTTTTCGATTGCCTAACATCTCACAAAGACTGGATTTGGGAGGGGATTTGAAACTTGATTTTTGCTTAAAAATTGTATCTGGTTGTCCACAGAAGCAAAGGCTGAGAAACGAGGAAAAGCAAGGCGTTGAGCCATCGAAACAGGACTGGAAGCTTGTCCAGCTAATGTTCTTTCTTCGTCCCGAATGCAGGAAAAGTCCTGCTTACATTACTGCTTAAAACGACATAACGATGATTTGACCAATGATCAAAATCTAGCAGTTGACCAATTCATTTTTGATATTTTTATCTATACATACATGTATCAGGTTGAATTTGTTACTTTAATGTGCATGTTATTACAGGCCCTGTTATCATCATCATCACTATTTCAGAACATTTATTTTACAATTACTGGTTCAGTATTGTCGCTTTTTCACAATGAACGTCTACTTCTAAACCTGGCTTTCTGTTTATAAAGCTGTAGCAGTTTAATAAAATAGAGTGTAATTGGAATTAACCAGCTTATTAGGTTGAAGCTTTCAGGCTGGCTCCTACTCAGCTGCAAATTGAGAAGTAAATGTGTTATTTTTGAGCTGTCCTGTCATGATT